AGGCTTAGGCTTCCGATCCGCGTCCTGACCTAGCTGAGTCCGGGGCTCGGAGCGCATGGCCTCGTCATTCTGTGTTTAACCTCCGGTTCCTGTTCCAGATCCCGCTTCGGATTTTAAACATATCTCGTCTTGGATGGATCAACTGTTTTTTGGATTTTGGACTGTTCCCCTGATTTCCCGTTTTGGATTTCCCTGGACTTGCTTACCTGTGCTACCCCTTGCACCTGATCACTGTTGGCACCGCCCCCTGTTCTCAATCCCTTCCATTCCTAACTATGTTTTCCCTGTAGCCCTTTTCTAGTCACTTCAGGACTATATGTCTGCACAGGGTCTTAAACTACACACCACCGTCAGGACCGGCTCCCGTTACATTAAGAAAGACAACATGGAGATCTTGTCAAGTGCTTTTTCCAGAAGAAGGATTCCCCTGAGAAAACCTTAGCACAAAAATGTTCTGTTCTTCCCTAAACTGAAAATATAATTATCTTCTGAGCCCTGTGGCATGGGTTAGAGCTTTTCTTTTTTTCTTTTTTCTCCCATAGTAAGAAATTATAGAAAGAGGGAAGCTGAGCCCTCTCTTGCATTTGTGCAGTTGGAAGGTGGCCTGTTTCTGCTGCCATTTGGATTGTCAAGGATGTGAAGTCACTGGCGGCACTCTGTTATATGGCACAGTTCCTTCTTATTCTACTATAGAAGTGTTTTGCATTACTGGTGGCTTCAGTTTCCCCTTAAGTGAGTGACTCTAAAGTGATATTAAAGTAGAGAGCAATGAATGGCTGGATTGAAGAGCTGGGTGAAGGGTGATTAAATTTTAATTTTGCATCACTTTGGAGGGTAGGAACGTTAAAGCTGATGAAACTATCTGGATCAGAGCTGATGTTCATGACACTGATGTCAAGGAGGTACAATATAGTGCGGATGTCACAAAATTACCCATACTGAACTAAGCCCAGTTCTAATAAGAGACTATTATATTATATTATATTATATTATATTATATTATATTATATTATATTATATTATATTATATTATATTATACTGTAAGTCACTATTTTGACTATGCACAATATGTGGTAGTTTGCTGTTCCTGTGTTTGGAGGATGGATAATGCGATCAGTAGGGACTCTCTTGTGTTCCCGAGGTAAGGTTGTCCTTTTGTTAAGAAGGGTGACTTTGAGAGGATGCATCAATGTTGTTGAGACTGTTGAGGAGTTTCCTATTGTCGAGGGCAGCCTCTTTGGATAATATTCTCATGTTCAACAACAGTTTTTGGTCTCTGACTTTCAAAGAAGCTGTCATTTGTATCTATTATTGTTGAGGTTCATGACAATGTCTCCAACACTGAGGACAGTTGCTGAAACTGGACTCAGGATCTCAAGGTAAGTAGTGAAGTTTGAAGCCATGACAATTGTATCCTTACCACTGACGGTGAATCCTCAAGCTTAGCATTGTAATTTATTTTGGTTTGCTGCAAAACACCTCAGCAATCCATTAGACTGTACCAAGGTTTTTCTTTCCTTTCTTGTTGAAATGGTGTCCTCATGTAGGATTGTTGCAAAAAAAATTTTGCTATAAAAATGGAGGATAAAATACCAAAAAAGGCTATCAGAGAGCAGCCTGCATGAGGAGAGGAAAGCCAGCTCTCATCAGGCCTAAGCTCAGATTGCAGTAGTATTCACATGCAGTAGATTTCTGCATTGAGTTACTTTGATCATACTTTGATCCTTAACAGAAGTGGTGATACTCCTATAGGAGGTAGCACCACTGAGCCTTTCATATGCTGTATTTACAGTATATGAGAACCAACACTTTTAAGATAAAGTCATTAAGTTTAAAGGATCAAGCTGAAATAAGATAGACATCAGCAGATCAAAGGCTAATAATGAAGAAGGCATATATATAAATACAAATGAATTATGCATTACATTCAAGTTTTCTTAGAAATGTAATTTTTAAGTTAATGTAATTGCAGTTCAACTACATATCAACAAACTAGTAGGTTCTTCCTTAAACTGAATATGTATCAAATTTATAAAGTAACTCTGAGTATTATCCTTGACCTTAGCAAGGTGAATATATGGTGCAGAATCATTTTTTTGTTTTGAAAATTGCAAACCATTTAGCAATATTGGTACAGTAAGTGTAATTGTCAAAGGCAGAAATGATATTACTGTTCATCATCTTAAAAAAAATGTTTTGGATTAGAGGTCATTTTGATATTCTAGTAAAGACCATTACTGTTCTGGGGCCCAGACCTCAGTAAAGTCTTTGCTTGCGATATTCTTGTCAGATTATTTAATGCTTGTATCATCACAAGAAACTGACATTGATGCAGGCCATGGCTATGTGGTACAGTATATGAATGGTGAGACACATTCTTTATATTACATGTTGATGAAACATAGAGATTTCACATGACAGACACTACATCATAGGTATAGATATGCCTGAATAGCTATTTATTATAATATATATACAGAGATAATACAAAGATATACAGTATAACATATTGTATATATAGAGATAATGCAAAGGAAAAGCATTTCACATCCAAAAGCAAATCTCATACTTGTGTTACAGAGACAGTTGCCACAGAAAATTCTACAGCTGCCATGCCGGATATTGTTGTACCAGCTGATAGTAATTATGTAAATAAATCCATTTGAAGAAAAAGCAGGATCTGTCTGCTCTTAGCATCTGTCATCTCCTAAGTATATTTCCCAGAGTTGTTTGTCTTTTATAAAATCCCAGAGTTGCTGGATTTAGTCATGGAAATGAAGGGAAAAGACAGCAAAATCCCCTTGTACATAAAGTACCTTACAAGAAAACCTGCATGCAATTTATCCCTCACCTTTACCCAAGATTATATTTCAATTTTACACTTGTTCTCATTTCACTTAACGAAAACAACTTGTGATTCATATTTTAGAATGCGTATTTAATTAGAAAACAATACTCAAAAACTGTCACATTTTCAGTAGTTAAATGCAGATTATTTAGTTTTTACACTCAAGTGATCATTAAAGAAAAATAAATACTTGTTCAACACAACAAAATGAAAACAATTTACACATTCCATAATACACCACTGCAACAACTACACATATTTTAATAAATGTGGTCTATATTTTATCTCTTGCTGTAGTGCTAACAGTAGTTATAACTTGTACGGCAGTGGAGACACAACAGAATGTTTGCTCACATGGGAACGGGAAATAAATGAGTAAGGAGACTAACAATATAGTTTAGTTTGTATTAGTTATGAAAAACTTAAAAATACAAAATATGAATGACCAAATTATATATCTAAAACAAATATATATATATATTTGCAACATGTTTCATTTAGAGGATGAAGTGGCTTCCTGAATGACCTTAATGTACTCAGAACATGTCCAGTATGTTTCGCAGTTATAACAAATTTTAAATACAGCATGGTCGCAACATCTGTGAATTTAACATTTGCAGATTTGCTTATTCATGATTTGGTCTTAGATGAAAGGAGAGGAGAGAGGGATGAAACTGAGCGGAACATTCAAATTAACTGCGCCACATACTAGGACCATGAAATAGATATACAGTTGCTACAGAAAGTGAGTTTCTCCCTGCCCCTTGTCCAAGTACCCACTACCGAGCATTTGCATCTCAACATGGTCTTGTTTTTATATTGTAATGAAGACTCCTGTTGGCAGTGTGGTGAGTGACAGGCTGTAGGCGACTTTATGGGCTAACAGACAGATTTATGGCCCATTTCATTACAGTTGGGCATGCTGTAGGCAGAGAGGTGTACAGTAGAAGGCAGAGAGAGAAAGAGGGAATCATGTTGAAAAAAGTATTCATGTTCTTGGTGACATTTTTGATTCCAGCAGCCTGTGCTTATTTCATGTTTTTTGTAATGAAGTTGTTCGCCCCCTGAGTTTTCCTATTTTATGTAACTCAGAATCTCTGTGTGTCACCTGGCACTCTTTTTCTCAATGAGTCACCAATTGTTCATCAGTCACTCCATCAGTCACTCCAGGGAGTGGGGTGGGGGGGTCTTAGGGGGTCCTAATGGGAAAATCTAAACAACAGGAAGCCCTATTGTGTAGTTTTTGCAAATCTAGTCTCAAAAGCAAATATTCCACTTTTGTCACATATCTATTTAAAATGTATGTATCTATGTAAAAAAGAAGAAGCAGTCAAGTTGACTTAGCTCTTCAGGGACCCCATCTATGAGATCCTGAGCTGGATGTTTATTTTTTTATTTTTTATGCACAGTAAACTACCACTGGTTTTTATGTTGAATGCAGGAAGTGCTGGAAAAAAAAAACATGATAATTTCTAAAGTGGACAGTGTTTAAAGGGTATGACTGAGTAGATAGATAACATGAGCACTGAGGGACCGTGAAATCCTTTGACATCTAGCCCAACACTGTTGTAATTTTCACTGACAGCTCAGATCTTCTTGTGTTACAATATCGAAAACAGTCAATCATCATTTACATCCAGAAAATTGGAATGTATCACCATACAATTTACAAGTGGTTGCTAAAATTGTGAATTGTAAACTAAAGAAATATTAAACGATTTTGTACACCGAACAACTTAATAAAATAATCTCCAGCAATTGCTTGTTTCTCTTTTTGGACCTCCACACAAGGCAGCAAGGATTGTATCCTTAAATAAAAAACGAACCATTATGTACTGTAAACAGATTTCTAGAATATAAATCCTGAAAAATTATGAAACAAAAACTACAGAAGGTGAGACAAATGACAATAAAAAAGAAATACCATTTCGGAGGTAGGGCTTTCATCTAGTGGTTTGACCTGTCAGTGATGAGATCTCATATAAAATGAATGGCATACAAAGAAATAAAACACAGATAAGGACAGCCCCTTTTTGAAGAGGGTCACACAGTCACAGACACTGCCATTCTTCCTAACCTAACAATCTTTCAACAGATGACCTTGTGAAGAGTGATTTACATGTTATAGATTCAGCCCTCAATTACTCACTAGAGTACACAGCACAGCAGTAAGAGCAGTAAGAGCATTCTTTCTTCGAATTTGAGTGTTTCTGTCATTCTCAGCTTCACTTTTTCTTTCTGTCTCTATGGATTCCTTTAAACCTCCCAACCTAAACCTCTTACCGTAATTTGGAATAGCCCTGCCCTCAAGTGACAGAAAGCACCAGTTAGGCAAGCAGACAGGCAGGCAGGCAGAGAGACACAGCGTTTTCACTCACTGAGTCTGGACTCGAGGATAGAGAGGATCTGTTCAGCAAGTGAGCAGATCCCGGAAGCAAGCAGTGAGATAGGCAAGCAGCATACAGTAATTACCAAAGGATATTTTAATGAAAAGCTGGATTATGAGGATTTGAAGAGCCATTGCCGAATACTGAAAGCTCTGGATTAGTGGCTTTTTCAGTTTTTCCTGACACAATGGGGATAGACAGACGGCAGAGAGCTTCTCTGGCTCTCACCTTGAACTTCATTGCACTGATCTTTGCCATCTCTGCCCTCAGCACAAGCTATTGGTGTGAGGGGACCAGAAAAGTGGTGAAGCCTTTCTGCAAAGGACCAGTGACTCTCAAGCAGAGCTACTGCATCAGGTTCAACAGCTCTAACATCAACGACAGTCGGATTGTCCAGTACATTTGGGAAACTGGAGACGACAAGTTCCTAATGAGACATTTCCATACTGGCATCTGGTTTTCCTGTGAAGAAAATATAAATGGAATAGGTAAGAACAACCATCATGTACAGTATACTATGTTTATAAACATTTGTTTACAAACACAGCAAACTAGATTTTATGTGGAGCAATGTTTCCATGAATAGTTTATAATGTTTCTACTTTAGTTTTTTTTGTTTGTAAATTATAATGGTCAGATTGACTCCTATTTCTTCTTTCAGAGCAACATTTAAAAGGCTCAAATATTTTTATTTTATGAGAAATGCTTATTAAAAATTAATGAAAAAGGAATTTAAAGAAGCCTTTTCTGCCTATTTTTAAACATTAAATCTCGATATCTAGTCTAGAAAGAGTGTTGCAATTTCTACTTAATGTTGTGAGCTGAGCAATGATAAATTATTTAACTTTGTTCCCCTGAGCATACAAAATTTAATCGCATGATCTTTTCTGCATAATTTATGATTAACTTAGACCAATTCATATAATGGTTTACAACTTTATTCAATATGTCATCACTACTTTAAAAGTAACACTTTGGATTAACTGCAGAAAAGCAAAACTGATCCATACATTCTCAAATAAATCCTAGAGTACATAAGAAGATAACAATATTCAAAATTTAATCTAAACCAAAAAAAATTCCATGGAATGTAATCCAATAGAATCTCTACTGGATTATGGTACACAATATCAGGATTTAAAATATATCGTATGTGATTTTTAAGGAATGGTGTGGCAAAAACAGAAGCCTAAAGGGACAACTGCAAAATTAAACTCCTTAGGGTTTTTATTATTCTAAAAATAAAGTATAGTGATCAGGAAATGAAGGAGAAAAAAAAACATTTTTTGTTACATAATTACTGTATAAATTAAATCCTGTGGGTATATACTATGCCTATCATAAATAAACAAATACAGTACGCTCCTTCATGAAAAACAATTGTTTCTCTGGCAAAGGATAGTTTTCAAAGTTCTTCACAGATGCCTGAAAGTTGCAGCAGTTTATTGGAACAAGACTAATATTTATGTAATATTTCTGATTTATTATTTTTCTCATTTGTTTTTATTATATACCGTATAATATTTATGGGCGTTTCTTGGCTCCAGGACTAGGGAAACAAACAATTGGACAAAAATTATTTTGAGATTAATTTTATAGAAATTACCTTGTGTACAAACACAATGCTATTGGATTAATGCAATTTAAGATATTCATGTATGTACCATTGTCAGCACAAAAATGAATTAATAAAAATGCTTTCATGGTATTTGTAATTAATGTATTTAGAAAATAATGTTACAATAATGTCTGAAAATATGAGGTGGTGGTTCTAAACCTCATTCTCTTGAAGGCAAAGGTAGCTGAGTGTCCCTTTCTCTTCAGCATTTATCTAATAAAAAGATCTGTCATAGAGCATTCTAATGCAATTCAATTTACCCTTGTAATAACAAAGAGTACTGATCCTAGATCCATTATTGACAGATACATGCAAAATAAAACATTTTATACAATCAAGTTGCAGTTTGTTTGAAAATGAAAACTAAAATGATACAGGTCATACACAATTTTTTACAAAGAAAGAAACAAACATGGAATTTTAGGATGACATTTTTCTTCTTTGGAATTTACCATAAAATGTGCAATTTATAAAAACTTAAATACACCTGAAAGGATTTACATGTCAATGACATTCCTGTGTAAGATAACCGAAGAAACTGGATTTCTAATACCTGGAATTCAAGGACCAATTGGAAATCTGTTGTAGCATGTTTGTGGCATGCATGTATGGATTTTGTTAAACAAAATTTTTATTTTTTTCAGGAGAGAGCTGTAGAAGTTTTCTAAATATTGCACCATCACACGAGAGGGGTAAGTATTTAATCATCCTTTTTAAAAGATTTTTATTTGTCTACAAATTAATGTATGTGAAGTATCTTTTTCATTTTAATTTTAGATTATTTTGTGAGTGTCTCATTGGCCCAATGGAAGTTTTCTTTTATTAAATTGGAGAGTTTTAATAAAACTAAATACATTTTCAGGACATAAGAGTATAAGAAAGGTTTCAAAGTAAAGGAGGTCATAAAGCCCAATTAAAAGAAAAGTCAGTGTATATTAGAATTGTTTTCTGTTTTATGATAGTTTTTACCTTATTTTTCAGTGTTCATAAAAGACTGAATTAAGTAGCATTTTCTTATAATGCTTCTTTTATTATATTGCAGCGTATTTATTGTCTTTATTGATATTTACAGTGACTGTAAATGTTGTGTGTGAGCATTCTGAAAATCTGCCGTCATTACAAAAAAGTTACAATATCTACAGCTATACAATTTATGCATTTCTTAACTTGCAAGACTGCTTGAGTATAAATAATTTACTGTACCTCTTTAGTTTGGAAGTTTATGGATGAATGTCTTAGTTGCAGGGAAAACAAATAAGATACTGTATTATGTTTCTGACAAGCTAGTGTGCAGCCTGTCAATAAAACAGATTTGAAAAATTATTGCAGTTAAACAACATTAAATCACAAGTACATCCAGAGGAGATACTGTATACTATATGTAAATATTTGTGAGAATATCATTGAGGTTAATTAATAATTCAAAAGCCAGTAAACTGTGTTTAGCTTGATCAAATAATTACATGTACAGTGAAACTTGGTATAGTATATCCATAGTATATTGGGTATTATGGTGGTATAAGAGCTTAATTTCTAAGAACCTAATATATATTTGATGCTGTGATGGAACAATTTGACAAATTAATGTAAATTGCACATGGAGTATAAATGTTTGTCTTTGCAAAGCAGACATGAAAATAATGCAACAGAGAAAAATTGCAAATACATACTTTAAACCTCTTGAGACGCATCTATCATTTCACGCGTCAATCATTTCAGGGGCTTTTAAAGTAATAAGCTACCCTTTATTGAATTGCTTTAATGATTTAATTCATCCCTTGATTGTCAGCTTTTCTATTTCCTTGGAGAGGTCAAATTGGTCAAAGTTGAGGAGGTCACGTTGGCATGTATTGATTCAAACATTAATGGCAATAGTAAATATGATTAATTACTGAGACTTACAGTAAATGATTTTTTTCTGCACATTTATTGGTTTACCATAATAGTGGACTGTAGACACAAAACAGGTATCAGCAGCATGGAATTTGTATGTTCTTCCAATGTTCACATGGGTTTCCTTTGGATCTTTCATTTCCTCCCACAGTCTAAAAACATACTGGTAGGTGAATTGGAAAATTGGCCTTGGTGTGAGTGTGTGTGCTTGTGTCTGTGTGTGCTCTGTGATGGACTGGCGTCCTATCCAGGGTGTATCCTGTCTTTTGGCTGTTGCTTGCCAAGACAATCTCCGGCTCCCCAGCAGCCCTGAATTGGATAAAGCAGATAGAAAATGGATGGATGGAAGGATGGAGAAACAATATGTAATTACAGAAGGATAGTTCTTGTGAATTCCTCCATCCTTAATAATGGAAAATGGTTAACTAATGTTGAGCTCAGATTTAGACTTCACGCATGTAGCTGCAAAAACAGAAGCCAATTTAAAATTTGAAAACAAGTACCAAGGCATTCCAGTTTAAAAAATATTATTTATTCATGATAAATATATTAGAATTTGATTTGTTGGTGAAGTATAGAGCAACATGTGATGCACAACGTCAATTTGCTTTTTCCCCCGGCCAGCTAGCCTCAGAGTGACTCTAATCTACCTGACCAGTGCTGTCCTCCTAGCTATACTGTACATTTTATGTGACAAAGTACAAATTGTCATCTAAATTACTTTGTTCTGCTTTTATAGGACAGTAGTTTGAATTTTGAGAATCAGACCAATTGTAATTGCATTATTAAAAAGCTATTTTTAGCTCAAATACTGTAACTGTAACCGATTGCCTCCTCTTATTTTGGAAAATGAAATGACTTTACAGATACAAAACAAAAGAATTACATTCCTTTTAATACTTTTTAAAGTAGTGTATGATGCTCCCTACCTGATATGCTCTCTCTACTGCAACAGGTGTTAGCTAAATGCAGCAATGAAAGTTTCAGGAATAAGGCTGTAAATATGACACAGTGAACAGATGAGGAAATGTTGGTGTTAAGCCAAAACTGGAGAAGATTGTTGACTGTTAGTGCAGCATTACACTAAACACATGCTTCATTTTATATTAAATATATTCACTTACTTAAGGGCATAAACTTAAATTTGTATTGTTTAAGTCAGAGAAGAGGTTTAAAATACATGTTATGATAAGAGATACATAGAGACATGTTTCTCACAAGACATTATGATATGTTTTATTAACCATGCACAATTTTAATTTTATTTTTCTATTAAACATATTTCCCTGCCATTTTGTCTCGATAATTCTTGTTAACTTACAATAATAAATACTGTATGTTTTGGGTCAATTTAATCTCATGAGATTTTGGAAATATCTGTTATACCATTCTTGATATAAATCATGCCGTACAGTATATTTTCTATTTGTAGAAGTACTGCCTTCTACCTTTATTACCTATTCATATTAGAAATAGATGTATCAGTATATGATGTTAACTAACCTATCTTCTTCATCCCCTTTTCCTTTGGTTAAATTTTTTTCAGGTGTCCTTTGGTTGTGCATCGTTGCTGAGTGTCTGTACATTGCTCTGTTGGTAACTGGTGGAATTCTTATGTCAATAGAGATATGTCACTATGCTAATGTCATCGACGGCTTGAAACTGAATGCCTTCGCTGCAATATTTACTGTGCTATCAGGTAAATGGTTATGCTTCAATAGGTTTTCTTTCTCCATCTCTTAAATTCTACTCAAATTTATTTATTCAGTGTTACCAGATGTTAACAGATCAGCTACCCGATTCATGCGCTCCAATGAAAAGCTCGCTCGAGTATACAGTGCTACAGTAGCTTTCATATTTTTTCTGACATTAATTTATACGGAATTCATTCAGGATTTCTGAATTTGAATGGATGAGCCAGATCTGATGTGGACAGGAAATTGTGGTGCTTTCAACATTTTTGTAGACAGGTTGAGAGATGTGTCTTATTTCTCCTATAGCTGTTACTTCTTTTGAAATGTATATTTCCATTATCGTAATTTATTGTAAGACACACTTTTATATTGGCAAGCTGTGTGCCATAAAGTATTCATAATGGAAAGTATTCAACTTCAGAGTCTTATATGCTCTGCATTCAAGGCAACATACTGTAGTTTGTTTCAAACACATACTGTGCATTACAGTGCTTTCACTGTCAATTTATAGTTGTCAACTAAAATGTTGAAATATTAACACACTCCTCTTAATAAAGAATTATATATAATATAATTACACAATTACACATTTAAAGATAAGCCTTCTTTGTTTATCTGTAATTCTTAAAAGTATGCATTCTATAAATACATATTGTATGGATAAAAAGCAAATATAGTTTTCAAAAACATTTGTTAATTATAAAAAAAAATGTCTTTTCTCCCATCTAATCAACCCTCTGGAGACCTTACTTTGTTTTTAAGAGTTTTCTCTCTTCCTTTATGTTATGAGCAGGAAATAGAAAAAAAACACACAATTGAATTCAGTTTCTTAACAGTGCTAAAACAGCTTCTGTTTGATTTTTTTGTGGTGAAATTTGACATACAGTACTCTACACAAAGACAAACAATAGTTAGAAATGGCTCACATTAGAAAGATTATGTATTAATCAGTAATCAGTTGTCCATTAATTATTATTCGAAATAATCTGGTTGCTAAATCATTGCCTTTTTAAAATGATGTTACAATTCTTACCATACCACTGATTCCATTCTGTTTAAAAAGAAATGTTTAACACTCATGTCATCTAAATCCTTTGCAAAAACAAAATTGGAAAAATCATTCATTGTTGAATCACACCAAACAGGCTAATGTGATTCTAATTATCCTAATTGTCGGCATCAGTTACTGCCATTAAACTCTGCACTTCTATGTAACTTCTACAATATACAGTAACTGTCTTCCCAAGCAGTCATAAACGCTTCATAAACAGTTATGTTTAACTTTAAAAATGATAAAGTTTCCAGCCCTCTAGAGAGGAATTACTGCACATTGCCTCTAGTTTAGTTTACAAGAACTGCATATAATATGCTTGTAATTATATTTTCTTGGCATCTAAACAACACTGTGTTGATTAAACTACATGAATTTAACAAATTTTATATATTTAAAAAAATGGAGGCCCAATAAAGAAACTCCACAAGGAAGAAGGAATGCATTGAGGGCAATGGATTGGCAGGTTATATCGAGAATTTAGTCTGCACTTGTACAATCTGAGGATTTGTGGTATTATAAAGTAATCGGATTGGTAACATGGCTGCATTTTTCAGAATGTGGTATTTGCTCAGTGTAGATACCTCTCTCCAGTTGTCAGGCATTCTTCCAGACATCATTTTTATATCTCTATTCAATACTATTGAATTCTTTTGTTCTCAGAGCACACCATGTGTATGTATGTATCTGGAATTTTCCATCACACTTTTTACATCACACATTTTATGCCCTTAATAGTATAAATATAAGAACAAATAAAAATAGTAAAAAAATACCTAATTACATGGTCTGGATTTAATTAACATTTAGCACAGGTTAATTTCAGAATATTCCCTTGATGTAACAGGAATTCAATGTAATCCAAGGACACAGATTTTTATTACTACTAAAAGTATTTTATAGAGCAATTATTCCAGTGTGTAATACTTTCAGAGACATGAAATAGAGCATTGTTTAAGCATTTAAATAATTCATGGGGATATAGCTAGTAAGAGACAAAGAAGGCTTTAATGTCAGTTCTTTTCTGTAAGAATATTTTCAGAATCATCGTAGGTGATTGTCAAATCAAAAGTTGGATGACGCAATATCATTTTTGTATTGCTTTTCTTGACTGGATGAAAGCTATCAAAAAATATTTTGGTGATATATCTGCTACTTGCTGTGAAATGAGAGAAATATTGAGCAAAATAGTTTTTAAGATTCAGGTTTTAATCTGACATGCACCATGGCTGCCCTCTTGTGAATTATAGCCTTTAGTACATACTGTATGCTTCTATTCTCATTTTAACTCTAAGAGAGCATATCCTGTGTCAAGTTGTTGAAAATATATTTAAAATTTAAATTTAAAGTTAAAATTTCTGGTCCTGAATGCTATATTTAACACCTGTTAATTGCCTGACCTGTAGAAAAAAAGTGTGATTTTTGACATCCCGGTGCAGAAGAAGTCACTTACACACTTTGATCTTTTTGTGAAACAATTGATATTCATTTTACTTTTTCAAACCAGAACAGTATAACGTTTTTAGCATACCAGTCTCCAAAATTTCCATTATCATATTGGTACTGTATCTCGTCTTTCTAATTTACTTGTGGTACTTTAGTACAACTTGTGTTGTACTAAAATACCCTTTAACATACAATGAGAAAGCTATGCCAGAAGTTCTGTGAAATCAGGATTTCACATTTCACTATGTGCTTGTCCTTGGCAACATGAATCTCAGCAATAGAAATCTCTATATACTGTAAATAATGTCCAGATAGACAAGGATCCAACGATGGAGTTATTGCAGAACCTTCTAACGCAGTGCCATCACCTTTACATTTTTGCTGCTACACAGGCCAAGACCGGAGTTAGCATTTAACAAAATCACTATGTAAGGGCAAAGAATATCCTTATTTTGAAAAGTATTGACAGTAGCTTAACTACTGTACATCTGGACATTCTCAAAAAAAAACTGTAAGTAAGTCTCTAACTCCCCATGGACAGACACATATTTTTGTTATTTTTTCCCTAAATACCAAGCTGTCATAATAGTGTAAATTACTGTAGATCTTGAATATATAAAACTTTTCAACTTTTTCAAGTGGAAACTAAGGTACGAGAAAATCAAGATCAAACCAAACAAACATGGTGTTCCAATCAAATGTGTAAAAATGAAATGTAATGTTTTGGGAAATATAGTCCTTCCTTAGATCTCATGGTGGAGAGTGCAGAATATATTTTGCCCTTTTCAAGCAAATGTAGAAATGTAAGTAATCATACAGTAGGACTAGAACAAACACAAAGGGGAAGCACATACAGTTTTATTCTGACATGATCCTAAAAGTGTTAATCTGTTCAAGCCAACATCTGCCTTAAAAGTGTTATTAAAGATTTTTTTAGTATGATAACATGTAATGGAAGTGTAAAATCTTAGTATCACAGTATATGAAGCTTTTGACAAGAGATAAACTTAGTTTTCTCCTTTGTATGATTTTAAGGCTGTAATGCATATTAGAAAAAAATCAGTTTATACCCTGATAGAGCACTGAAATAGTTAAAAGTTAGAAAGCACATCAACGTAGTATTGGAAGGTTTTGTCTCAATTTGGAATTAAACCATCAGTAATGATATGCAATGACAAGCATTGGCAAAGGAAATAGTAATTAACAGAGATTTGCTAGTGGTTGTAAGGAGATTTGTAAGGTTATAAGAAGCATGAAAAATTGGGCATTTCAGGAGAGTCCTACGAGAAAAAAGAAACTGGCCCTTGTTGTACGGTAGCGCCATTGGTATATAAAATTTCAGCCATATTAACCTGAATCTAAATGTATGACATAGAAATGACCACAAAGTACTTATACCCACTCAAGCCCGTCAAAAGCATTCTTAACACCAAATGAAAGAAAAGCACAAAGAAGCAATCTGTGTCAAATGGATGTCTCATTGATTTTTATCACTACAGTTAACTAATCTGTGGTGAGTGTCCTGCGTGTTTTAGAACCGCCATCATTGGACACTTCTGGATGTAGACCTGCATGTTTTTCTATTTATTATGAAGTTTTTTTTTTCATTTTCAAACATGCATCCTGTCATGTGACATAAGTGTTATATACTATAAAATCTTGGCAACACCAGGTTGTTCTTTCTTGTCCTATGGAGAAGCAGTTGTACATCTGTATATTTAATGAGAATGAAGTAGTCTACCATAGAATACCCAACTGAGAACTTTCTTCAATATTTTAAGATGGTTTCTAAACTAAATCAAACCTGCTGGTTGAAATTTCATCTTAGGCTTGAATTTTGTGTCTTGTTTTATAGGTCTTTTAGGTATGGTAGCACATATGATGTTCACCACTGCTTTCCAGTTGACAGTAAGTCTTGGGCCTGAAGACTGGAGGCCTCAGACATGGGATTATGGGTGGTCATATTGGTAAGTCTAGCATATTAATGCAGTGTTTTGAACTGAATTCTATACTGATGTACAAATGTATATTGATCTATATTGTAATCTATGATTTTATTTTTTCCAATCTGAAATTTCTCTTCCTAAACAAGTTGATGTCCTTCAATAATGGCTCATCACCCAAATATTTGAAATTGTGCATTACGGTGACAGTTAAACAACCTTGTCCAACACTTTTACTTGCAGTTCTTAAACTTCAGCAGTTTAACACAAAACATACACTGGGAGAAAAATATAATAGTTTAAAAGGAAATCTCACACACATCATGATATATTTTACTACAGTATGTCAAAAATATGTATTCTGTGTTGAATGTACACTGCATTCATAATACAATCATAAGGATAAAAAAACAATTAAGACAATTAATTATATAATTTCCTAATTTTTCATGTCCAGTTTATAGGATGTATTTAAGTAAATTAATAATTAACGGTGTTATTAAAGCAGAAGTTCAGGACAAGATCAAATTCGCATCTCACACTTCTGCACTTCTGCTTACAGTATAAACACTTGCTGGCTGCCCACAATTCTACATGTGTTTTTTAAGTCCCCTCCCTCCACCCCAGCTGCACTCTTCCAACTGGTTCATTATTTGTAAGTGAGGGGGGTACGGCACTGAGGTTTAGCCACAGCTGTTGTTTCCTTAGCCAGGCCAGTTAACACCCAAGTATGACTTACACTGTTGCTTTATATTTCATTATATTTTCACAGTACCGCTTAATAATTCTGTATTTATTCAGATAGTTAGTTGAAATGCTCGGGCTTGATTTTCACAAGAAAAGAGACGTAATTGTAAAACAATAAAAACGCTAAAAGCTAAAAAGACCACAGGTTAAGCAACATAAAAAGCATTCTGTATATTGTATACTGTATACTGAAGATTGTAGCAAAGATTTTGTTTCCAATAATTCACGTTTTTAATATATTCTTTGATAGTTTTACTCAAGACTCTGGCCCTGTATTTTTTTAAAGCATTTTCCGATTTTTCTCCACAGCCTTGCATGGAGTTCCTTTACTAGTTGCATGGCGTCTTCGGTGACCACGATCAACAGGTACACAAAGACGATACTGGAGTTCAAGCATAAAAGGAGAAACATTGAGAAAAATCTTAAAGTCAAACAAAAGCTGCTTGACTTTGAGTCAGCTGACCAAGTCTGGGACATGTACATTAGCTCTGTGCCTAGCACAGCAGAAGAATTGTTAGACCTCTCAAGTAATGGCCGGAAATTATCCAACACTTCAGTTTTCTTAGATCTCAATGATTTGCCAGATCCACAGGTTGAAGAATACTGTTAAGCACTCAAGCTAAAAATTGTTTTCAACTACTATCTGCACATATTAGCCCCTCACTTTTTAGCTAATATTTTTGTCCACCTAAAATGATATTTTCAAACAAACATTACTATAATCATTCAAGGAATACTGTGAAAAATATTTAATACCGGTAGATAGGATTGTTTATTGTTATATGGAAGCACATTACTGTCTTCCCAGATTTTCAGTAGTTTTGTGTACAGTATGTGTGTATGAGTGTTTGAGCAAATGGTTGTACAGGTATGTGTTATTTGGTAACTGCCTTTTATTAAAAAGAAGCTGTGAAAAGTAGAAGAAATAAAAACCAAAAAAGTTAGCATTAACTGGGCTATGACTGTTCACGTGAAATGAGGTCAGCTAGGCAGCACAAGAATTCTGGTGCATATTTTATATCTTAAAAAGGGGTGCCATTATACAGTGAGAGAAAAAATACAGAAACTGGAAATGTACAGATTATGTTTCATTTTTATCTCACTTATTTTATTTTTGCACGGAACAGTTCTTTTGTATTCAGTTGCTTTTTAATTATTGAATTCCAAAGCTCAGAATTTCAGTATTTCTTTAGATTTAAAATAGAGGAAAAAAAGTCTTAAAAATTGGTGCAGTGCCTTTTGTAGGAATTTATTTTTTGCTTCTCTTAAAATTCGAACGACTAGCAGCATTTTTAAACTTAGTTGTTTTCCTTCTATATTTTAGAAAATTATACTAATGATTTCACTTACAGTACATTCATTTCATGACAAATTTGGAATGGGCAATTTGGACCAATTTAAAATGACAGAGTAACAGAGTTAATTTATGTGCAATTTAACCCAAAAATATGTTTTGAAAAGGTAAATGTCTGAAAAACACTTTCATATCGATATAATATGTTAAATTTGGATGGTAAAATGAATAGAAATCTAAATGTAAATTATCTACTCAAAGATGAGAAACAAAAACAAACATCTGACCAACTGAATGTCTTGAGCATTTAGAAAATGCTCAACTCCCTGTTCAGTGCATCTCAGATATCAAGCGAGTGTCTTTTTAAGCATGACAATAAGTTATTCTAAATAAATGTAAGTTATTGTAGCAAAACAGGCAGTTCCAAAGTTAGCAGTGGACATACTTATAGTGAGGATGTAATATTAGAGAATTTCTCCTGAAGCTTAGATGTACAGTATCATTGGAATCACCAGGTCAGTGGTCATCAGCTGGGTGGGGAATTAGGAGCTGTAAATCCAGTTAACAAAGTAGCAGAGAGAATCTTGTAAAGATCAGTAACTACCATCCAGCCCTCAACAAGTTGGAATGCTGGGTGCTGTGAGTACAGTGTTCCTGCTGTAAGCTGCAAAGTCCAGGTCCACAAAGTGTTGGAGTACCTGTGTGATCTGGATGCCAAGCTCGGTTCTGGTGTAACAAAGGATGAAGCCAATCATCTACAGTAGGTAATTCAAGATACAGTACATAGGCCCTACAGGTGAAAGAGGGCTAGGATTACATCTATGCCCTGTAAAAGTGTCTCTGGAAAGACAAATGGACAATGGTATGGGAATGATTGAGAATACTCAGAACTGACAGAGCCAGTGCCTCAAGAGATAATGACTGCATTTCACCTCAGTGGTAACCACAATATATCAATCAACAGAAACAGGCTTCAAAACAGTGCTGACTTTCATAGTCAGATAGGTACAGTATCTAATACATGCTGTACAACAGACAGACTATTGTCAGAGCAAAAAGAAAAAAAAGGCCAGGACAAAATAACAGAATAACTGTTTGTAAAATGTGTGCTTTGTCAGTTTTGATAAAATAAGAAGTGTTACTAATACTGTATATCATTAAAGTATGTACTAGATATAAGGGGAGATTAACATCGCCAAAAGGTGATTGCACCCCAAAATTCTGAAACCCTTATCCTGAAAAGGCCTATGTCAGATCAATAATCATGTGGTCTTCATCAGCACCAACTGAAAAACCACTTGACACGACAACTAAACTGGCAGCTATTTCATTGCTGGCTAAATAGAAAAAAAAGATTGGCTTGCATATGTATAAATGTTTCTTCTAATAGTGCAACTACAATACCTGCCTTTATCTTTGTGAGATATTTTTGCTTACCTATATCTCAGTACCATAAATAATATCTAAGTCATACAAAGGATAAAAGGTAATAGTTTCTGCTAAATGCTCAATGTTTACATCAGGACCAGTAATTCGTTTTCAATGGTCTATGGATAGAGACCCAAGAAACAAGAAGTTTGCTAGCATTAGTTTAACACATACAGTACGGTAATTAGTACATTTAAGTTGCTCAGAACTAACCTGAAAGGGACACCATAAGAAACTTTGGCTTTCCAGGACCAGGTTTGGTTTACTCTATGAAAAGAACATTTTGACAATATCCAAAAATAGTTTATCTAATGGTTGACTAAACATTCCATTGATTTGATGTCATGTTAACATTGGATCACTAAAATAAAACACTATACAGCTGCCTTTCTTAGCTAAAGGCAACAACATTTTAAGTTTACAGTTGCTGTTACTAACATATCAAATCCCAGTTTAAGATCTGTAATTGCTTTAAATTTGAAGGGCAGACATATAATGATGTTTTGTATTTACCAGTGTTTATGTCTGTTAACAAGTTGTGCCCACCATGCTTATGTAATTTAAAATACTGCCAAAGTAATTAATAAGCAGTGTAGAACTGTGTAGTCAACAATAAACCTGTGTTATAATTAGTGCAAGGTGTTGTGTGAAAATACTGTATCTACTGTAATACTGTTTTTGCACTTGTAAAATGTTTTATGGATAGCAAATTATTTTATTGGTTTTTGTTGTATGCTTTTTAATAAAGACATAAAAGGTCGCAATTTGTCTTTCAATTGAATGTTGCTCACAGTAAACATTATGTACATTTACAACTTATTATAGCTACATATTTCATTAGACCTATCCATTTCCTATAACTGAAGTAAAACTTTGAAAATTCAAAGTAATTACAATATTTGGCACACAGAGTTTGAAATCAATGCCTTTTCATTTTTTGCATTTGAAAAATTCTCTATGATTCAGAGATTCAGACGATTTTGGAAAACATTCAAACTGATTAGTAGAATTATATGGCAACCACAGAACATTGCTTATTGCCACAGAAACACAGATAAAAGATACACATGTCAAATAATTTGTTTTTTCCCTCTCATGTGGGTACTGTATACTGTACCTCAGTCTTTGAACTGCCTATGTTAAATCTTCATCTATAAATAATGATGCTGCAAAAGATGGGACAGACCTCAATATCCTCCACAAAGCCAGGTTGGAAACTATTATGCCACTCATCAAATGTTGTTCTGAATCATGAAAGTAAGCCAACATTAGGTCATCTGAAGTAGTAGAAAGAGAGCAATATATACTTTTCAACATAGGGAACAGAGAACCAAGTTCATCAGTGAATGTTCGGTGACATTTTAGACCACATTTTGCTCTTTGGTAAGTACACCAAACAGTCTTAGTTTTTTCTTTCTTATAGAATAGAACTAAAATAAAAAAGTGCCACTTCTCATTAAAAATAGCATTTCTGAAAACAACTTCAGTCGCATCACAATTCAATCATATCATATACTGTAATGTAAGATCTCCCCAATCAAATGCAGTATGTGTAACGAAGCATTCTTTCAGGACCCTATGCAGACAACACATTTAAAATAATACTAGGAAGGGCTGGAGCGTCCTTAAGAGGAGGGGTTTAAGAGCGTGACATTATGGTTGTGTATTCTTAAATTTAAAAGGCAAGGCAGAATATAGTATATGGAATATTAGTGCACTATACTGTACAGTATGTGCACAGTGTAATATATAAGTGAGAGTATGTTTCCATATTAACAGTTATTTTAGTTACATTGTGTTACTGGCTATTAGCTTTGCCATTCAAGGTACTCTTGTCCTCCATGTAACCAACTGAAGTTTTGGTTGAAGAAAACGATCAGGATGTGGACACATCCCAAGTTAAGTTGTCATTGTTTTGACATAAATATCAGTGATGAGGATCACAGAGCTTCTATTTTCACTACTACTCAAGTCCTTGTTACTAACGGGTAATCTGTCTGTTTTACAGATTTAATCATTTGACTAGGATTAGTTTTGGACCTGGAGGCCAAAATGCACAAAGAAAACATCCTGCTGCATTGCTTAGGAATTCAACACCAGTTCACTTTTCCAACCTGGGGCCCTGTTCCTACTTACAATAAGTGTATCAGTGATCTTGAGTCTCATGTTGGAGTGACTCCAAGTGTCCTCCTGTATTACATCCAGCTCAGATAATCAGTCAATCAGTATGTACATCTATATATTCCCCACAGGAACTGTCTCTTCTCTGAAAATTTGAGGATCTGCATGACGAATAGATAAGTGACAAACTCATTGAGAAAATGGCTAGTGGACATGTCAGAGACAGATTGGTGATTGAACCTGAGAATTATCACTACATAAAATTCTACAGGTAGCCTACCAAATGGATGCAGCCATTAAGGGGGCCGATCAGCTTGCACTCCCCCTCCCCATTAGCACCAGTTCCTGAGTCTTCAGAGCAGAATATTTAAAAGATGCTGCTTCTCTTGACTGTCAGCCCTGACAAGGCTGTCTTAAACGTTAAACAGCAACACTCTTCATATCACAATGAGAAAGCAGGATCTACTAACTATTAATCCAGACACTTCTGATCTGCCTGGTGAAAAAGATACAAGGATTTGCAAGGAAACTACAAGATGAACCACTTTTTTTTTTAGGTCCAGCTCTTCTTTCTCATCGGAATAGCTCCAAGCTCTGTTCTCCTCTCCAGTCACAACCCTTATACTTTCAAACCATAATAATGAATATGGTAACTTAGAATGATTATTTACTTTTATTATTTTAACAGTTTTAAATCAATATAATATAGACATTTGCAGTAAAATGGTTATGTTGTAAAATGCACGGATACCTGACTAAACCCTGAATTGTTGATTCATTCTATTGTATAACATTTAAAATGCCAAGACTTCTGTTTCGACTCTATAAATAATTTACAGGTGAAGCACAGAATGCCCGTTCCATTCCACAGAAACCCCTCATTAGCGACTGTTGACAATCAGTCTTTTGTTTTTAGACCTTGTGCTCATTTTGACAACTAACTGCAATCATTATTTTCCCTTCATAGCTTTCAGGTTTTACCATCACTTGCTGTTTAATACCACAAAATAAGACACAGACCTGATTTTTCCTCCTGGATGGTTGCAAAAGGAAATATAGTCAAATAATTAAACTAAAAAAAAAAGTGATGAGATGCACTCAATTCAGTTATTCAAATTTTTATTGTATTGTTTTATTAATTGAGATGGGTGACCAATGGATATAAGGTCAATATATTTAACCCAAGAAACTTACTGTAAATGTACTGTAGCTGCTCCTCTTCACTCTTGACCAGAATTTCAAAACTAAAACCTAATTATATCACCAGGGACATTCTTGTTGGGTCAGGAGGAAGTCGATAAGATGAGACATTCAACTGAGAGATTGACTATTTGGTCAAAGATCCTATAGCACTTTGAAGAGGTAGAGGAGATAACTCTACTGCCTTGGCCAAATTCCACTCTAGGTTTGTACAATCTAAAGGTTCCATTAATTCAACTGGTAAATCACTTTTCACTTCTCTACCTGATCTGCTGTGTAGTGGAGTTATTGTTCCTTAGTGGCAAATATATACAGTATGTAATTCACAATATCCACTTTAATATACTGTAATGTAATATACAGTACAGTACTGTATGTAAAGTCTGTTTGGGATCCTTTCAGAGGAAAGGTATTATATACATGAAAGGAGTGAATGAAACCTAGCATAGCTATTTCAGCTAATATAATGAAAGAAAGTATTAAAATAAATGTTTTTTATATTAATATTTATAATGTTTATGTTGTTCTATTTAGCTACTGTATATGCTGTATCACGAACATTAAACAAAAGTTAAACTAGAATGATAATAGCCTCCAGCAGGTGACAGTGTTGTCTAAAAAAGTACTCATAACATTTTCAATAAAGTCTTTGCAATACTGAAATTACTGCATTGTATTAATATCAGGCTCTCATCGGCCCTGGCATTAATAGACTAGAGCAATGTCGGCCATTATGGGCTTCACTGGTATCTGAGACCTCGTAGAAAGAAACCTTTCCAATGATTCCAAAATAAAACATTATGATCTGTGTGGTGCATCAGTAACACTCTGAAACTCAGGGGGTTTAAATAAGTTAGATAAATAAATTAGATCCCAATCAAAAAGTGTATTCTATTCCCACTGGACTTGACTTACCTTAAGCCTTAAATACAAACACACAAGTATACCATGCAATGGTTTCAAAAGATTGTGATGTTTTTTAAGTTCCACTAAAATATAATTGTGTGGCAATGGTAGCAAATTTAATGCTTCTTCTACAAAATGATCAAATGGTTGACCTATTTACTTGTAGTGTTTACAGAATTGTGTTAATAACATAAAAAATGTGATAAACATATTGCTGTATAAGAACAAAACATAAAAACTATTGCTACTGTAGTCATTTCTAATTCATGTTGGAAATATCATGTTAATTAATAAAATGTACATTCATGGAGACACTGTATGTCAGAGAAACAACCTTAATAAATGTCCTTTTTTCCTTTGGAAAATGATGAAATAGTGAAATTAAATAAAAATGGCTTAAAGAATTAAATAAAGCCTGAGCAGAACAGAATGGATGACAAAATAGGCATTACAAATTGTGGAGATGTAGAGAACAAATATAAAAAAATATCTGCTTTACCACATCAATATGAAAATAGGCTGGAGAAATCAGGACACATACTGTATTGTATCTCTGCTTTGAAGAATAAAACATGAACTTCTCTAATAAAAGTATTTTCAGTTATTATTGTATTTATTACAATAGTAGTGAACAAAACAAAATAAAATGACTTGGTATGGCAACTGCTTTATTATTTTAAAGCTTTAAAGACGTAACAATATTGTTCTACAGACAAGTGTCCTCTAACTTTAGTTGACTCTTGGGGCAGGGACATATTGATTTGTTGAACAATCTATAATATTATTTAATATACTGTATGCTCTAAACAAAGAATGTGTGATATTTATGATAGTTCTGGTTCTCACATCTTGGCAGATGATTTTAACTGCATACTGAAGAGCAATCTTTAATTCATCCTAATATCTCATTTCTAATACTAATTGCGATTTAGAAGGTTTTTTTACTGTAAAAAGCAAATTTGTACTATTCTAATAAGATTAGTTCAGAACATTGAGTATCAGCTGAAAAGAAAAGAAAAAACCCTTTCCATTTCAAGTTTCAGGTTTATTGTCAAATGTACCCGAGTACAATGAAATGGTTACTTGTGTGTTTCCTCACATGATGAATAACATAATAGATGACGTGCTGTAATGATGATATAACAAATGACATCACAAATTGTTGGAGGCAGGAACATGATAGCAGCTATAGTATGATGTTAAGCAACATTCAGATAGCAGTGGTGTGAAAAATTCAAGTAGTGGCAGTATTTTGAGTTCAGTGATAAAAAATTTAGGTGATAAAATTACATTTCCAGCTACAAAACATTTTGTGAAAGAAAATCATACCCAAACTTTGAAGTATATTAGTATACAAAATCACAAAACAGATGGATAATACATATTACAGTCATGTTGGATATGAGAACTACACAATGTATAATTAATTTGAATAAATGAATTAGACCTCTTTAGCTTTTGCTATGAAATTATTTCAAAAAATGCCACTTCTACATGTTAGAAGTGTTAACCAAGAAACAGGCAGTAATTTTC